CATTAAAGAGATTGAAAAATCTACTGTTAAATTTATATGGAAACACAAGAGGCCACGAACAGCCAAGGCAATACTCAGTCAAAAGAACAATGCAGGAGGTATCACAATACCTGACTTCAAACTATATTACAAATAATACAAAGCAATAACAATAAAAACAGCATGGTACTGGCACAAAAACAGACATGAAGACCAGTGGAACAGAATAGAGGACCCAGATACGAAGCCACACAACTATAAGCAACTTATCTTTGACAAAGGAGCTAAAAATATACGATGGAGAAATAGCAGCCTCTTCAACAAAAACTGCTGGGAAAACTGGTTAGCAGTCTGCAAAAAACTGAAACTAGATCCATGTATATCACCCTATACCAAGATTAACTCAAAATGGATCAAGGATCTTAATATCAGACCCCAAACTCTTAAGTTGATACAGGAAAGAGTAGGAAATACTCTGGAGTTAGTAGGTATAGGTAAGAACTTTCTCAATGAAACCCCAGCAGCACAGCAACTAAGAGATAGCATAGATAAATGGGACTCATAAAGCTAAAAAGCTTCTGTTCATCAAAAGAAATGGTCTCTAAACTGAAGAGAACACCCACAGAGTGGGAGAAAATATTTGCCAATATACATCAGACAAAGGACTGATAACCAGAATATACAGGGAACTTAAATAAATTCTCCCAAAACTAATGAACCAATAAAGAAATGGGCATGTGAACTAAACAGAACTTTCTCAAAAGAAGAAATTCAAATGGCCAGAAAACACATGAAAAAATGCTCACCATCTCTAGCAATAAAGGAAATGCAAATTAAAACCACACTAAGATTCCACCTCACCCCTGTTAGAATAGCCATCATCAGCAACACCACCAACAACAGGTGTTGGCGAGGATGCGGGGAAAAAGGAACCCTCTTACACTGTTGGTGGGAATGTAGACTAGTACAACCACTCTGGAAAAAAATTTGGAGGCTACTTAAAAAGCTGGACATCGATCTACCATTTGATCCAGCAATACCACTCTTGGGGATATACCCAAAAGACTGTTACTCCAGAGGCACCTGCACATCCATGTTTATTGCGGCACTATTCACAATAGCCAAGTTATGGAAACAGCCAAGATGCCCCAGCACCGACGAATGGATTAAGAAAATGTGGTATCTATACACAATGGAATTTTATGCAGCCATGAAGAAGAACGAAATGTTATCATTCGCTGGTAAATGGATGGAATTGGAGAACATCATTCTGAGTGAGGTTAGCCTGGCTCAAAAGACCAAAAATCATATGTTCTCCCTCATATGTGGACATTAGATCAAGGGCAAACACAACAAGGGATTGGACTATGAGCACATGATAAAAGCGAGAGCACACAAGGGAGGGGTGAGGATAGGTAAGACACCTAAAAAACTAGCTAGCATTTGTTGCCCTTAACGCAGAGAAACTAAAGCAGATACCTTAAAGCAACTGAGGCCAATAGGAAAAGGGGACCAGGACTAGAGAAAAGGTTAGATCAAAAAGAATTAACCTAGAAGGTAACACCCACGCATAGGAAATCAATGTGAGTCAATGCCCTGTATAGCTATCCTTATCTCAACCAGCAAAAACACTTGTTTCTTCCTGTTATTGCTTATACTCTCTCTACAACAAAATTAGAGATAAGGGCAAAATAGTTTCTGCTGGGTATTGAGGGGGGGGAGCGGGAGGGGGCGGAGTGGGTGGTAAGGGAGGGGGTGGGGGTAGCGGGGAGAAATGAACCAAGCCTTGTATGCACATATGAATAATAAAAGAAAAATGAAAAAAAAAAAGAAAAGAAAAAAAAATCCCTTGAGACTTCTCAAGCTGTGGATTATTTAGAAGTGAAAAATAAATAAATAAATAAACACTTAAAACTCCTAGAAGAAAACATAGGGGAAAAGTTTCTTGACATTCATCTTTACAATGATTTTTTAGCTATAACACCAAAAGTACAGGCAGCAAAAGCAAAAATAGACAAGTGAAGCAAAGAAAACAACAGAGTGAAAAGTCATCTACGAGATGGGAGAAAAATATCACACAAAAAAAAAAAAAGATCTGATTCTTAAATGTACGAAGGTGAGCTGGTCGCAGTAATATATGCCTGTAATCCCAGCACTAGGAAGGTGGAAGCAGGAGGATCAAGAGACTGAGGCCAACCTGTGCTGTGTAGCAGTCCCCACCTCATAAATAAATAAATAAATGTGGCAAGGGTCCTGAACTGACATTTCTCCAAAGAAAACAAAAATATCAAGAGGTGACCATGCTCACCATCACTAATAATCAAGGAAATATAATCAAAACCACAAGTATATATCGCCTCACACATGTTGACTATTATCAAAAACAAAACAAAAGGTAACAAGTATTGGCAAGAATATGAAGGAACTGGATCTTTTTATACACTGTGGGTGGGAATGTAAAATGGTGCCACTCTTATGGAAAGCAGTATAAAACATCCTTAAAAAACTAAAAATGGAATGACCATATGATCAAGAAGTCCTACTTCTGAGGGTTTATCCAAAGGAAATGAGGGCTGGGATGTAGCTTGGTAGTACAGCGCTTGCCTAGCATGCGTGAGGCCCTGGGTTCAATCCCAGCACCAAAAAAGAAAAGACAAAAAAAAAAAAAAAAAAACTTCTCCCCCAAAGGAAGTGAAATCACGGTTTCAAAGGGATATTATTCACAACAGCCAAGATATGGTAACAACCATAAAGATGTGGTACGGTCACATAATGAATTTTATTCAGATTTTAATAAAGAAAGGAAATCCTGGCTGAACCAGGAAGAAATTATGCTAAGGGAAATAAACCAATCACAGAAGGATAACTGGTGGAGTGGCTCAAGGGGTAAATGTGCCTGCCTAAGAGAAGGATAAATACTGCATGCTTCTATTCACACATCTAGGATAGTCAAATTTGTAGAGGTAGAGAGTAGGAGGGAATAGGGAGCTGTCATACAACAGACAGAGAGTTTCAATTATGCAAGATGAAAAAGCTCTAGAGATCTTCTGCAAAACACAGTGTCTATGTTACTAAAACTGCACTGTGCACTTAAAAACTTTAAGATAGTAAATCTCATGTTGCATGTTCTTACCACCACCCCCCCACACACACAAACACACACACACAAAACCAATGCAGGATGAGAAAACTGTTGCAAGTGGTGAATGCTTATTACCTTCACTGTGGCAATGGTTTTGTCCTATGTCCAGACACATCAAATTGTATACACTAAGTGTGTTCAGTTTTTTTTGTTTACCGTTTATACTTTAATAAAACTATTTTTTGCAAAAAAAAAAATGCAGTATCTTGGTAAATGTTTAACAAGTGGTCCAGAGTGGGGGAATTGCACTGCTTGCCAATTTCCTTTGTGCAAATTTTCCCATCATAATCAGTATCTTGGGATATTGAACTCAGAGTTGGGAGACATGCACAAGTTCTCTCCATACAACTCAGCAACAACACACCACTAGGACATTTTGGCAAATACTGGAGAAATCTGGAATTAGACAATGTATTGGATTATATTATAATTTATATAGACTTCCCTATATGTGACAATGGTAATGTGTTTGAGTGAGTGCGTGCCCTTTCTCCTGAGGAACTTGGGGAAATATTCGGATGGCATCCAGGTTATTATCAGATGGTTTAGCAAAAGGAGCTCTGGGGCAAAGGGGGAGAAGAAGAAGAGAAAATGTATCAAGAGGTCAATAGGGCAGGGTGTGGTGGTAGATTCATGCAATCCCAGCACTCTGGAGGCTGAGGCAGGAGGATCATAAGTTTGAGATCAGCCTGGGCTACATAATGAGAAACTATCTCAAAAAAATAAATAAATAAATAAATGAAAGAGAGACAGAGACAGTGAGAAAGACACAGAGAGAAAAAGAAAGAAAGAAAGAGAGAGAGGTTAATAGATGTAACCTCTATTATTATGATAGTATTAAGAATGTAGGTGAGAGACACATTGGAATTCATTAATGAAAACTATTCAGGGCTTTGCCTGAATGCTGATGTTTAGGGGGGTGGGGGGAAGGGCAGGAGACTTTCGTTTCTTCCCAGTCCAAAAGCTGTGCTCTAGCTGGTCATCAAGCCCTCCCCCGAAACCACGGGGAAGTGACAAGTTCATGTTGATACACATTGTCTGGCCTGTACTGAGAAGGAAGGAAGGAGGGAGGAAGGGCGGAAGGGAAGAGGGAGAGAGGGAGGGAGGGAAGGAGGGAAGGAAGAAAGGAAGAAAGGAAGGAAGGAAGAAAGGAAGGAAGGAGTCTAAAACCTTGTAATACTGGATACCTATTCCCTAGGTATCTGTATTTCTAACTCTTAATGTTAGAGCTGTTCAATGAATCATGCTAAAAAATGTGCCTAAAGACAAAGCTTAAAGTGTCCTGCTATGGTAGCTTCTAAGCACTGAGCAGAGAAAATAAAAATGATAGATACTTAATATTGTTTTATTATTACTACTTCCAAATGCTGATCTTGTGCCCTAGGTGAATATCTAAAAAATGATTTTATGCTTTCTCAAACACAGTTTTCCAGCTCCCTTGCTAGCTACTTGAATTCCTTGTAAATCCTGAAATTTAAAATCACGCTTCTGGAGTTAGAAACATCAATCTGGAGTTGATGATACAAATGACTGTCTCCTTTTCTGACAAGCTCCTATGATAGTTCAAGAAAGTAATGTAGGAGTGAGGGTTTAGAAGTTTGTTTCTGGAAGCAGATGGCCTGTCACTGAGAAGGCTGTGATTTGGTGCCCTCTAAAGGCAACAATGACAACAGCACTGCTTACCATGTGCTTTGAGTAAGTTCCAGGGCTTTGCCTGAATGCTGACGTTTAGGGGGGGTGGGGTGAAGGGCAGGAGACTTTCATTTCTTTCCAATCCAAAAGCTGTGTTCTAGCTCGTCATCAAAGCCCTCCCCCGAAACCACGGAAGTGACAAGTTCACGTTGATACACAACTTTTTTCTTAGTGAGAATACTGCCTGCTGTCACTAGCATAACAGAAGAAATAACAGAAGAAACAACTGATAGTTGTTTTAAACCGAGAGCGCGGAGATCAGCGTCTGCACTCTGTTTATTTTCCTTTTAGAACAAGTAATCTGGGTTTGAAAATTTTTTTTAATTCAAATGCCATCTTTGGCTTTTCGGCTTTGCGAATAATTTAAGTCCAAGTTCATGCTGTGGACTGACAAGGTAAGTGTCATGATTTTTTTTACCTTCAGGAGAAAATATTTCTACAAACTGTTCTTGCAGAGGATGAATACTGTCCCTGGAGTGGGCACTCCTTATAATGCACATATACATGGAAATGTCACAAGAAAACTCCCTGTGTAGCTATCTTAAACTAATAAATATGTCATTGTTTTTCTTTTACAAAATGGGAGAACAGGAGGACAGAACAGGTCCTGCCTGGGGGGGGGGTTGGTTGGTACCAGTGTGAGGGGGAGGATGTGAGGAAAGGGTGTAGGAGGGTGAATATGGTGCAAATACTATGTACACATGTATGCAAATGGAAAATGAGAACTGCTGAAACTATTCCAGAAAAGGGGGGAGGGAAGATAAAAGAGAATGATGGAGGGGATGAATTCAACTTATATATTTGATATATTGTAAGAACTTTTGCAAATGCTACAATGTACCCCCACCTAGCACAACAGTAAAAATAAATGAATAAAAAAGAAAAAGAAGAGAGGGCTGGTATGTAGCTTGGTGGTATAGCGCTTGCCTAGCATGCGTGAGGCCCTGGGTTCGATCCCAGCACCAAAAAAGAAAAGACAAGAAAAAAAAGAAAAAGAAGAAATAAAATTAAAAAAGAATGTGATTCTTGGTGTGGTGGCATATACCTATAATCCAGCTATTGGGGAGGCAGAAATTGGGAGAATCATAGTTTGAAGCCATCCCAGACCAAAAAAAAAAGAGTCAGCAAGTTTCCATTGTAACCAATAAACCAAGCATGTGGCTCACAGCTATAATCCCAGCTGTGCAGGAAACACAGGTAGGAGGACCAAGGTCCGAGACTCATTCCTGGAAAATATGCACAACCCTACCCAAAAAATAGCTAAAGTAAAAAAAAAAAGCTGGGGGCATGGCTGAATAGTAGAGCCCCTGCCAAGAAAGCACAAGGCCCTGAGTTCAAGCCCCGGTACTACCAATAACAATAATAATAATAACAAGGTGATTCTCTTCTGGAGCCTCTGGAGTAGGGTTAAAACAATGGAATTAAGGAGAGAGTCAGGAAGCAAAGAGAAGTTATAAAGAAAGTTACTTTGTGGGGGGCAACCATCCAAAAGAAAGGTGTCCATGAGGAGAACAGACTCAGGTCGCTCAGTGATTCCTCTTATGAATGAGTTGATAGGAGCTCCAGGCCTTGAGAAACACAAAACACTCCACAGGTGGTATGACAGGAAATACTACAATCCAGTGATGAGAAGAAGTGTTAACTGATTAAAATCCAGAGTACAAGAAATCAGGATCCATTATATGATTTGCAAGAATAGGGAACTTGGGGTTTGAACTTTTTTTTTTTTTTGGTAGAATTAGGGTTTGAACTCATGGCTTTGCACTTTCTAGGCAGGCACTGTACTGCTTGAGCTACACCTCCAGCCCTTTTTGCTCTGGTTATGCTGTGATCTTGCTTTTTGCTCAGGCTGTCCAAGACTGCAGTCCTCCTATCTTAGACTTTCTACTGTGTCTGGGATGACAGGTACATGCCACCACAACCAGCTTTTTCCCATCAAGATGGGGTCTTGCAAACTTTTTGCCTGGGCTATCCTGGAACTGTAATCCCCTGATCTTAGCCTCCTGTGTAGTTTGGGATGACAGGTGTGTGCCACTGCACTCAGCCATTGGTAGAGATGGGGACTTGTGAACTACTGGCTGAGGCTGGCCTCAAACTGAGATCCTCCTGATCTCAGCCTCCCAGGTAGATAGGATGACAGGTATGAGCCACTATTGCCTGGCTCAAACTTTTCTAAAAAGACAAATCTGACTTTGGCTTTTTAGCCTTGAGAAATAATTTTAAGTCCAACTATCTTCTCTATACTAACACCAATGTTGTTCCATGACTCAAACATGATTGCTAGTTGGTCATGAATGGGGTATGGTTTTACTGTTGTACAAAGGTCCAGTGCACAGACTAGAGAAAAGAAACCTTTGAAAAACAAAGTGTTTATCATTTTGTAGCATATTTGATAATTGACAAACACCTTATCCATTCTCTCAACCATTCAAACCTGCACTATTATCTACCACCTTTGAATTCACATGTTTTCTGCTACAGTTTGGGTTTTGAGGGTACCAATTACTTGGTTTTCAGACACAACAGCAATCCTTTCAGGCTGGAAAGAAAACTGTTTTAACTCTGTGCCTTACCAATGTGGAAACAAATGGCATGGGAAAATCAAGTAATAGTTATGTTACCAGTCAGCTGGGTGTGATTCTTTTGCTGTACCCTGATAGGAATCATAAGTAAGTGAGAACTCTTTCAGAACTGGCAGTCTCAGACTCTTGAGTCCCTAAGCCCTGACAGCTGAAATGTCAGATCCAGAGGCTTACAGTTCCAAACCCAGAGCTAGGGCCTACTGTTCCAGGCTTCAGAAGCCAGAGACCTGTAGCTATAGGCACTCAGGTAAGAGTGCCTGGGCACTGGGCTTTGTCTGGGCTTTAACCACTACTGGCCCCAGCATTCAGCAGCTATTGTAATCCTTGGCTCCTGGCAGCAGTAAGTGGCAGCAGCAGACAGCACCAAGCAGTAGCAGGTGATGCCTTCTACTATTATAGCTCTCAGACAGGCCTCAGGTACTGAGACCCTCGCCCTATGGTGACAAATGTTACAGATCTTAGGCAACTAATGTCACAGCTCCAGGCATAGAGTATTGGTACCCCCAGTTCATGGCAGCTGCTAATGTTACAGCACTTGGGCCTAGAGTGTCTGAGTCCTTAGCCCTTAAGGCTGGCAGTTTCCTAGAACTCTACCATTATCTGGGACCTGCTGTTACTCTTCTCTGGCTCTTCACAGCCTTCTTTCTGCAGCCTTGGCTCTCTACTCCATCTTACCTTCTCTCTATCTCTGTCATCCATCATTGTCTCTGCCACCTCTATTCCTGGTCATTTCTGTCCTAGCTGTTCTCTAAAATACTTCAGCTGCCCCTTGTCACTACTGCCACTGTTGCTGCTGCTGCCACCAGGGCAGTGGCTGCTGCTGCCTCTGCCTCACTACTACTACTGCTCTGATGTCACTTCTGTATGTTTTCTTTGTGTTCCCAGCTCAGCCCACTCAATTAATGATAAAGGTCAAAAGCAGGCATGAAAAGAACCTTTAGGAGAAGCCTTTAATTGGGCCTAATGTTATACCACCAGGGTGTTGCAGCACAGTAGGATATCTCCCAACTGACTCAAAAACTCTAACTGGAAAGCTTGCTTACAAAGCCAGAAAGGGGGTCTGGCAGGGTATTTCCACTGATCCTAACAGACCTTCATACAAATGAAATACTGTTTGCACCAATCATTGCTCATGCAAATTAAAGACTGAGTTTACACCAATCACAGCACATTCTCTCATGCAAATGGAGAACCATGTTTACAGCAATCATAGACCTTCTGCTGAGGCACCAGAGGAAGTGCTCCCCTCTGGCCTGGGTAAAAATGGCTGTAGGGTTTTCTAGGATTCACCAAGGCTTGTGATGGCAAAAAGTCTGGCATAAAACTATGTGAAACAGGCATGACTTCACTGTAGCTTCCTCAAGGAATCCATGGAGTGTTCAAAACTGCTGGGCTGGCAGGAAGATGAGCCTGTTGGCTGCTTGACTGATACTCCTTCACTCAAGGCAGCCAGAGAATCAGGAAAGGGTCTAACAGCTGTCAATTGGGATCAAATCATCCTGGTCCACAACATCTTAGCTTATTTAAAGGGAAAATAAGCATCACAATAATGACTTATCATTTCAGTAATTTAACAGTACTGAACAATGTTCTAACAATGCTTAACTCGTGCCTCAGTGACCCAGGGATGGGTGGTCCCTCTAATTGTCTCAGATGGAGACATAAGGAGAAGTACAACCCAGAGGTCTCAATTTCCAGTGCTCTCATGATCTTCCCTTACTAACTGAAAGCATATTTTTTATAAATGTTTATTAGAATATATTTGTTATAGAGGGGGGCACTCATAGTGACAATTCTGATTAGACTTATATTGTACATTAAATACATTGTCCTCATCATCTCTCCCCTTCAACCCCTTCCCCCCCCACTTAAAGCAATTGCAAGAGGCTTCTTAGTTCTGTCTCATATAGGTATATGAAGTCCATCTACCATATACTGTCACTTTAATCTCCTTCACTTACCCTCCCCCCCACACACACTGTACCTATTTTACAGTCCTGTTTTTCACTAATAATATTTAAGTTGATGTTCTAAGGGGTGTCTCAATGTATGTCCACTGTGGGTATACTTACTTTGGTCCATTCAACCCTTTTCACTACTCTCCCTTACCCCTTTACTTCTCACCCCCCCCATTTTTCAACAGCTGAAAGCATATTTTAAAATGATTTCCCTCATTCACAAATTCATCATCTGTAAATACGGATTAATTTTAAAAGATGAAAATTCCCTGTTTTTCCCTATTAATTTCTATTCAATCTTTAAAAACAAGGTGAGCAGGCATGGTAGTACACATCTATAATCCCAGCTATTTGGGAGGCTAAGGCAAGAAGATCAAAAGTTCTAGGCTAGCCTGGGAAACTTAGTGAAATCCTGTCTCAAAATAAAATCTGAAAAAGGGTTATGGATGTAGCTCAGTGATAGAACAGTTGCCTAGCATGTACAAGGCCCTGGGTGCAATCCCCAAGATTGCAAAAGACAAAATTAAAAGACAACATATTTTTGACCAGTCCCATTTTATCCCACAATCCACACTAGACAGGGATAAAGAGAGTCTGCTAGCATTTGTATTCAGTGCATGCTGCTGTTACAGGACATACCACATGGTATTGTTTGTATGTCTCTTATAGTAGCATCTCCTTGAGTGCTGTCACTGTGCATTATTTCTCCAGACTTTATTACTCTTTTAACAAAATGAAATGGGTTCACATCTTGATGAGTATAATGCAAAAATAAGGATGTCCAAGCAAGAAAGGAACAGAGAAAGATTATCTGCAGAAGGTAAAGAGAACATGGGCATTATTTCCAAAGCAATGCCCTCATCCAACAAAGGAAGTGTGGGAGTTTTATTTAGGGAGCTGGCACATACAGTAGAGCCCTGATATCTATGAGTCTATGATTACAAGGAGACCACCACTAAGGAAAATGGAGAATGCACAGGAACACAGAGTTCAATGCTGAAATGTGGATGCATTATTCATTTTTCCCATAAGTCCTTTCCAACTTCTTCTAAAGACATGCCTTTCAACAAATCTAAAATTTTCACTTTATCGCTTAAATTAAGCAGATGCACTTTTACCTAGCTTTGGGGGTACCATTTGCCTTTTGGGAGGCAGATTTTCATAAAATGTAGGGCAGGGCAACACTCAGCAGATCATACAATGATTTAAATACAACTGACAAGAACACAGGACTGACTGAGAGCTTTGCCACATCAACTGAGCTAGGTAATACCTACCTAGAAATTTATATTTTTGCCTTTGAAATTTCTTTTGACTTTTTTGACCATGCTTGATTAAAACAGTGTGTAATAAATCCACAAATAAGGTGGGCTTACAGTATTTGTATGAGAAAGCATTTTGGTGTGAGCACTTTCCTGAGCATGCTCAGTTCAAGATGTACATAACAGAGCATGCTCAATTAAGGTCATAGGTCATGAAAGAAAAGGTGTCCAGGAACACTTCTGAGCACGTTTAACATACATTATAAAGATGGAAAACTTCTGTACATGCTTAGTGTCTTTTCCCAGAAAAGATTTAGCTGCAGACAAGGGAAAGGACATTTTGCATGTGATAATATGAGAGTTTGCCCCAAAGGGCACCTGCCTCACTTAGTTGCAAGCACTCTGATTTGGTCACTAAGTCTGAATCATTGGGACCACACTTGGTTCTCCACCTGCACTTGCAGGTCCTCGGGTCACAGATGTGGACTGAATTCCTTTACTGCCAATGAATTCAGTTCCGCATCTTTTCCACTTTACAAACTCAATTGACAACCATCTCTTTTGTGTCATTGCAAATAGAGAGCACAGCAGAGATCTGCCACCTTCAGATCTTCACCTAGTAGCCTAGAAATTCAAGTTTTCTTATTTGTGGAGGCCATTATTTCTGGTTAGAAGCCATCTACACCTCCTGCTCCTCAACTCAAAGGAATCCACAAGTATATTTATGAAGCGTTTCCAAATTTTTGGTAAATTTTATCTGCATGAGCTTTTTTCTAGGGAGAAGAGAGGGAAGAAGGGAGATGAGGAGGAAGGTAGAGAATGAACAATGCATAAATATTTTGTGCTAGGCATTTTTGTGTAAGCAATATCATCTTGTTTAATCCACACATAATCCACACAATCCTTTAATGTAGAATTTTTTATTGTACAAATACTGCATCTGAGTGTTTAATAGTTTTCTCAGTCATGTAATTAGTCAGTAGCAGAGACAAAGTTCAACCCAGTTCTGCTGCCACCAAGGCCCATTATCTGTGTAGCCTACCAAGCATACAAAATAAGAAGACTCCCAAATCAACTAGGAGTTTAAAAGGAAGAGATAAAATTTTACAATAGAAAATGAGCCAAGTATGGAGATCTCAATCTTACTGTCGCAAGCGTGAGATGTCACAGGGGAATCCACAGACGTGCTAAAAGGTTCTTGCTCTCAGAACACTCTCAAGAATGAGAGGTTGGAGCATCAGAATTACAGGCAGGAAGGAAACTATTGATAGAGAAAGGCTGAGTGGAGAGACGCACAGCGGGGTCTGGAAACCAGGTGCCTCCGGAGTGCTAGAGTGGGAGAATATATATTTATGTAAGGCTTCCACCCTAACCTAAAGAACAGTTCATAGTGGAATCCTATGGTTCCATTCTTGGCACACACAGGCCTCCTGTACCTCCTGGTCCTCTGGCCGAGCTGGTTCCTCTGCTTCTCCCAGGTCACCAGGGCTTCACATTCCTAAGATGTCATGGGGCTGATCTATGTTATGGAACTGCTACATTACAAAGGGTGGGTTAGCAGGAAAATCTGGAGCAGGCAGCCAAGGAAATCCCTCTGATTTGTACTGCAAGTTCATTAATCTGCCCCAGAAGCAAGGATGCTCTGAGGGATCTGAGAGTTCAGACGTCTCCCCTGCTCCCTAGAGTCAGTAAGTCCATTTTGCTTCTATGCCTGGGCATTCTGATTAAATTAGGAGGCAAGATGCAAAACCATGGGTATAAACTCCCCCAAGCCCACCCTAAATGTGCAGCAGCCGACTTGAGCCAAGATGAAGGAAGAGACTTCATGACAGAAGCCACAGGACACTTTAGGGCTTCAGATCACAATGTGCACATCTGGGCTTCAGAACCAGAGACCCACATTCAAGGCAAATTCTGCCTCTCATTAGCAGTGCATCCTCAAGTGACGTGGAATGATGATTCTGTGTTTTTCATTTGCTGGCCCTGGGGGGCTCAATACATATTTGCTCTCGTTTTCCCATGGCAAATACCACTATGATTAAGTAGAATGTTACTATGGAAATCACATAGGGGTTTTACAGCTAGCTTGCCTCAAAATCTGTCATATCTTCAAGCTAGCATGGAGGTTCAGGCCTGTAATCCCAACATTAGGGAAGTTGAAGCAGAATGATCACAAGTTGACAGTCAGCATATAGTGATACTCTGTCTCAAAATAAAATAAAAAGTAAAGAACGTAAAGCCTTGCAATATTGGACACTTGTTCTCAAATGGTGACATTAACCTAAACTGAATAGGTAGGGGCTGGGCTTGCTGATCTGATCTTATCTGACCCTCTTTCTTCATCTGTATTACCTTCTGATTCCTGTAGGTGTCTGTATTTCTGACTCCTGCTTCAGAAACTGTTAAAAAAAAATATCCCTAAAGACAAAGCCTCAGATGTCCTGCAATGGTAGCTTCTAAGCACTGAAAAGAGAAAATAAAAATTATAGTTACTTAATATTATTTTATTACTACTACTTCCAAATACTCTTCTTGTGCCTAGGTGAATTTCTAAAAGTCATTTTACGCTTTCTCAAACACAATTTTCCAGCTCCCTTGCTAACTGCTTGAATTCCTTGTAAATTCTGAAATTTAAAGAATTCTGGAGTTAGAATCCTTCGTGCTTCTGGAGTTAGAAACATCAATCTGGAGTTGATGACACAAATGGCTGTCTCCTTTTCTGACAAGTTCCTATGACAGTTCAAGAAAGTAATGTAGGAGTGAGAGTTTAGAAGTTTGTTTCTGGAAGCAGATGGCCTGTCACTGAGAAGGCTGTGATTTGGTGCCCTCTAAAGGCAACAATGACAACAGCACTGCTTTGAATAAGTTTCAGGGCTTTGCCTGAACTCTGACCTTTCCGGGGGGGAGGGAGAGGAGAAGGGCAAGAGTCTTTCATTTCTTTCTAATCCAAAAGCTGTGTCCTAGCTTGTCATTAACTCTCCCCTGAGACCAAGGAGGTATCCTGTCACCAGCATAACAGAAGAAACAACCAGCTTTTGTTTTAAACTGGGATCACCTTGGTCAAAGTCAGTATTCTCTTTGTTTTTCTTTTAGAACAAAGAATTTGGGTTCCCAGCCTTTTTTTGAAAAGACAAATGGCTTTTCAGCTTTGAGAAATAATTTAAGTCCACTATCTACTGTGTGCTAACAAGGTAAGTGTCCTGAATTATTTTTTTTTAACTTTCAAATGGAAATGTTTCCAAAAACTGCTTTTGCAAAGGATGAATGTTCTCCTTGGAGAGTGCATTTCTTAAGAAGGTAGGTGATTCTCTTCTGGAGCCTCTTGAGTAGGGTTAAAGCAACAGAATTAAGAAGAGACTGGAGAAGCAAAGACAAATTGTAAAGAAACAAAGTTACCTTGTGGGGGGAACCACCCAAAAGGAAGATGTCCATGAGAATAACATTCTTGGGTCTCTCAGTGATTCTAGGTCCACTTAGAATTTCCTCTTATGAATGAGTTGACAGAAGCACCAGGCTTTGAGAAACCCAAAACACTCCACAGGTGCTATGACAGGAAATACTACAACAAAGTAAGAGCATAATATAGGGTGATGGATGATAAGAAATGTTAACTGATTAAAATCCAGACTATAAGAAATCAGGATCCATTATATGATTTTCAAGAATAAGGAATTTGGCTTTCAAACTTTTTTTAAAACAGGAAAATACTATCTTTGGCTTTTCAGCTTTGAGAGATAATTTCTCTCTGCTCTATGCTAAGACTCATGTCACTCCATGTTTCATAAATGGTCAGGAATGGGATGCAGTTTTGTTGCTGTACAAAGGTCCAACTCAATAGATTAAGGCTCCTTTGGGCCAACAGACTACATATAAGAAACCTTTGTACCCTTGTAATTGACACGGAGATAGCACACACCTTAGATTCTCCCAACCCTTCAAACCTGCAGTACTACCTCTCACCTTTAAATTCACAGGGGTTTTGTTTGGTTTGGTTTGGGCTTGGGAGGCATCAGTTAATGAGTTTCAGAGACAAAAATAATCCTTTCAAGCTGGAAGGAAAGAGAAAACTGTTTTGATTCTGTCTTACAAATGTGGAAACAATGGCAAAGAGAGATGAAGAATTTTGCCCAAGGTCAGCTGGTTAGAGAAAGAAACAGGACTCTCAATTTCCAGTTTGCTCATGACCATCCTTACTGATCTAAAGCATGTTTTAAAATGACTGCCCCATTCAGAAATTCATAGTTTGAAAACATGAATGTTTAAAGGTACAAATTCTCAAATTTGTTTCTATTGAGAGTTTAGTCTCTAATCAGTCTTTATAAGACAGATGTTTTTACCAACTCCTCTTTCATCAAACAGTCCATTCTAGACAGGGCCAAAAAAGTCTGCAATCATTTGTACCAGGTTTGCTGCCTTCATAAGACCTTTCATGTGTATTGTTTATATGTCACCCTCTCTCCTTGTAACCTGAGGGCATCACTGTGTCTTTTTATTTCTTCGAGTTCACTATTCTTTCTTCATCACAAATGTCATCTTTGGGGCACCACACATGGCTCAGTACCTATACTATGGAGTACCCAGGGCATAGATGTTGAATTCCTTTGCTGCCAGTGTATTCAGTTCAGCATATTTTTCACTTTACCAATTCAATTAACAACCATTTCTTTTGTGTCACTGCAAATACAGAGGACAGCAGAGATCTGCCAACCTCAGACCTTTATCTACTGGCCTAGAAATTCAAGTGTTCGTATTGGTGGAGGCCATTATTTCTGGTTAGAAGCCATCTAGACCGCCTGCTCCTCAACTCAAAGGAATCCACAGGTATATTTGCAAAGTGTTTCCAAATTTTTTGGTAAATTTTATCTGTATGAGCTGCTTTTCTAGGGAGAAAAGAGATGAGGAAGGAGGTAGAGAATGAATCATGCATAAATATTTTGTGCTAGGCATTTCTGTGTAATATCACCTTGTTTAATATACACATAATCCTTTAATGTAGGCATTTTTCTTATTTTACAAATACTGTATCTGAGTGTTTCAGTAGTTTTCTCAGTCATGTGATTAGTCTGTAGCAGAGAGAAAGTTCAAAGCCAGTTCTGCTGCCTCCAAAGCCCATTCTCCTTGTAGCCTACTTAGCTCCCAAAATAAAGAGTGTTAGAAAAGAAGAGGTATGGAAGAAGCAGAGACAGCTCAAACACCAGCACAGGGTTTACTGTTCAGGCAGAAGCCCTGTGGAAGGGGACCCTAGCAAGAGAGCTAGAGCCCACTGCCACACACAGGCTTGGGCTAGATATAGGAGGCTAGTGGAAAAGTACCAGGGAGGTAACTAAGGGATGCCGTTGCTGGGCAATCAAAAAAGATAAGTTGTAGTTAGGTTACTGTCTGCTCAACTGTCTTTGGCATCCATCCAGGGTGATAAAGATTAACAACTGTCCCTTTGTCAGTCTTTGGGGTTGGTTGGGGAGTTTCTAGTCAGCAACCTGCAAGGGGGAAGGGGGTCTGGTCCTAACATGGCTGTCCTCACTGTTAACCCTAACAAAGAGACTAAATCAACTAAGAATTTAAAAGGAAGAAGTAAAAAAAAAATGTAATAGAAAATTAGCAGGATAGCAGGAAAATTTGGAGCAGGCAACCCTAGGAAATCCCTCTGATTTGTACTGTAAACCCACGTAATTGCCCCCAGACGAGTTGAGTATGAGAGGTCTGAAAGCTCAGAAGTCTCCCCTGCTCCCTAGAGTCAGTAAATCCATTTTGCTTCTGTGCCTGGGCATTCTGATTAGATTGAGAGGCAAAATGCAAAGCCATGGGTATAAACTCCCCCAAGCCCACTCCAAATGTGCGGCAGCAAACCTGAGCCAAGATGAAGGAAGAGACTTCATGACAGAAGTCACATGACACTCTAGGCCCTCAAACTACAACATGTTCACATCTGGGCTTCAGAGCCAGAGATCCACATTCAAGGCAAATTCTGCCTCTCATTAGCAGTGCATCCTCCAGTGATGTGGAATGATGATGCTGTGTTTTCCATTTGCTAGCCCTGAGGGCTCATTACATTTTTGCTCTCTTGGTTCCCCACAGCAAATATCATTATAAGTGCCATTTGACAGTGAAAATGACATAGGGGTTTTATAGCTAGATCTTGCCTCAAATAGCATTGAATGGTCAATGGCAAAATCAAATGAATTAGATATGGTTTATAAAACAAATACCCTTAGGTTTCAAATACTGTTTGTGTTTTCTGGAATGCGCAAGGGGTTTCTGGGAAAAGTAGGATGTGCAACTAAGTCCATTTGACATGTGGACAGACTCACCAATGTTGTGAACCTGATTTACTGGAATAAAGTGATTATGCCTGCTGATCAAGACAAAAGCTATTCTGAAGTTTTGGAAGCCCATTTTATAAAATGAAGAACTAGGTCTCAGAGGAATACATGAAAATAAATTACTTTAGTAAGCTCCCCCACCACGAAGTTAGAAACCACTAAAAATACAACATCCTGCAAATTACAACCTAAAGAAATATTTTGCAATGTATCAAAGACAATGCTTGTGTGCTTATTTTGTAAAATATACCTATAAATTAGGAATAAAGAAAGGAGAAACTCCCTAATTGGGAAAAATGACCTAACTGTGCAATCTGCAAAAGAGAAATACCATTGGTAAAAAAGCATATGAAAACCTGTTTAATCTCATTTGTAATCCCAAATCTGAGATAATATCTTCTACCTATCAAATATGAAGTTCAGAGAATGAGGTCAGATTCAGAGAAAGATATACAAGCACTGCAGGAGAGCAACCTGATAATTTAGTAACATGTTTACAGCTCATTATTTTATGTACTTTTCCACCCTACAGTTGTAGTTCTTGAAATATAGTCTCAGGAAATAACCATATATCTGTGCCAAGATTTGGATGCTAGGATGGTCATCATAGCGTTGCTTTCCATGACTGAATAGTAGAAACATCTTATATTGTCACTATTGAGGCTGAATAAAATAAATAACAGCACATTTGCCTATGAAACAAAAAGCTGGCTCTTAATCCCCATGATATACTTGCTCCTGTGTCTCCTGACTAGCATGAGCATTCTCATTTCCACTCGCCCTCATCTTGAATTCCAGAATGTTCCATATGACTTTCCTTGGGGACTCTCTATTATGGTCAGTGAATCTTGTGTCTCTACAAGGTTAAGAACCTCCACCCCCTTAATGCACATAATATCCTTGTTGTGTGGCGGGACATGGCTGTAATGTTCTTCAGGGCTTGATGCTTTGATTAAAAGTAGCATTCCTAACGCCTGCAAGTCCTAGAATTCAGAGAGGCAAGATGACAGGAAAAGTTCTTTAATACTGAGAGAATCTAGGATCCCCAGGGGGTTAAGGTACTGGCTACATTAGATAATAATGAAAACAACAACGATGACAATAATAATAGCTGAATTAATTGAGCACTTACTATTTTTCCCACTATTTTATTTTATTGATTTTATTATTCATATGTGCATACAAGGCTTGGGTCATTTCTCCCCCCTGCCCCACCCCCTCCCTTACCACCCACTCCACCCCCTCCCTCTCCCCCCCACCCCCTCAATACCCAGCAGAAACTATTTTGCCCTTATTTCTAATTTTGTTGTAGAGAGAGTATAAGTAATAATAGGAAGGAACGAGGGTTTTTGCTAGTTGAGATAAGGATAGCTATACAGGGAGTTGACTCACATTAATTTCCTGTGCATGTGTGTTACCTTCTAGGTTAAGTCTTTTTGATCTCACCTTTTCTCTAGTTCCTGGTCCCCTTTTCCTATTGGCCTCTGTTGCTTTTAAGGTATCTGCTTTAGTTTCTCTGCGTTAAGGGCAACAAATGCTAGCTAATTTTTTAGGTGTCTTACCTATCCTCACCCCTCCCTTGTGTGCTCTTGCTTTTATCATGGAGCACTTACTATTAACAAGAGCAATTCTATAACCCTTCCAACATTTATCAGTCATTTAATCTTTACAACAAATCTTTAAAGTAATTATTATTATTATCAATGTCATCATCATCATCAACATTCCCATCTTACCCATGAGAAAAACAAGGCACAAAGAAGATAGTCCAACAACATACAACTAACACATAGTGAAGCCAGTATGTAAAACAAAGCAGTGTGATTTCAGAGTCTGAATTTTTCGACCAAAATATGGTTCTGCTTCCACTCAAAGATGACAAGAGTATATTTTTATGCAATAAAAACCGCATCCTGTATCAGGGTCTCCCTTCCAACATCATCATACAAAGAAGCTCTGTTTGACCTTCTTCTAACAGCCCACCATGGCCAAGAGGGTTGCAGTGATTGGAGCTGGTGTGAGTGGCCTGTCCTCCATCAAATGCTGCTTGGATGAGGACCTTGAGCCCACCTGCTTTGAAAGAAGTAATGACTTCGGGGGACTATGGAAGTTTTCTGTGCGTGGTTCACATTCTCCTATTTCCATCAATCATAATCTGGCATTTGCTTTGTTTCTGCTTACACATGGTGGCTTTAACTTGCCTTGGTGGTCAGGGAAGGGAGTAATTCACTCCAACATCCCAAATGTGTTCATGGTGCCATGAGAAATACTATGCAGGATGTAGTATAATACATGAGAAGCCTTAAGAATAGACAGGGCATGGTCAGGAATATACAGGAGAAAGGAGGAAAGAGTCAAATTTGATAGATAACATAGTTTGGAGGTTTATGATGATTTATGGACCATGGAAATTCTAAAACAAAGTAGCAAAGTATCACATCAGATAAACTGAGCAGCACTGGTAAATAAGGAGTAGGTTTCACTCTAGGGAGGATGGAAGTTGGCATCAGCAGTAGAGATACAACCCCTAGGGAACAGAACTGGCAAGAGGGAGGCAGAACTCCAGTCTTAGAAGATCTGGTGGGGTACAGGAGGGAGTAACTTTCACATTATCAGAATAGAAAGAACCCAGGAGCAGACCAGTCCTTTAAAGTAGTAGAATATGCAGCTTAGAAGCTATGCTCAGGGCCCAGGCAGCTGTTTGGGTACGTAAGCATCAGAAAGTGAGTCTGGAAGTAGTTAACTGACACTTGCCTCTGGCCAGGATTGGTCCTGATTACAAAATAGCAAGGTATTCTGTGGGGATTGAGGAATCTTCCCCAGTGGTGGGATGTAAGAAGGAATCAGAAGTTGGAATCCAGACAGGGCCAAATATCAAACATACTTGGGGGAAAAGAAGAGCAACATCCATTCAACTGTTATGAACCAGGCAAGCCTTCATGGAAGAGATGGAATTTACTGAATCTTTGAACAATGACCAAGAAAACAGAATAAGCAAATATATGCAGCCAGGGATAGTCACAGCCCTAGGAGTATAGTAGGGGGATAAAACCTTTTTCTGGTATATTGTGAGCCTCAGCAGGCCACCAAATGTCAATGTGGAAAGAAAGTACTGGGTCCGGTTTGTGTAGCTTCTGCTATTTGACCCTATAGTTGGTTTGATTTCTTTCTTCTATTCTAAAGTAATACAGATTAATTTTAGAAATAATATTGAGTTAAATAAAAGGAAAAATATAAATTAAATATAGTAACAATATCCACAGGTCAGAACTTTTAAAATTTTGATTTAATTTCTTGCAGTCATATAGATGCTATTTTTTCAAAAAAAAATAGGATGGTAATTTTTATTCATTCAACATGTACTTATCACTTCCTTCTACCAGGACACACTAAAACATGTGACAGATAAGGGCTCTGCCCTCTTACAGTCTAATGGGGAATAGAAACAGTAAAAAGATAATTGCAATGGAGTATGATCATCTCTGTGGTAGAAGTCCATGATGCTGTGGGGCCGTAACAACCTTATGCAGATCCATAGGTGAGGGAAGTCTTCTTAAGGAGAGTGACAAATCCTTATCTCAACTAGCAAAAACCCTTGGTCTTTCCTCTCCAACAAAATTAGAGATAAGGGCAGAATAGTTTCTGCTAGGTAGCGAGGAGTAAGGGGGGGTAAGGGAGGGAGTGGGGGGCTGAGGGGGTAAGGGAAGGGGTGAAGGGAAGAGAGGAGAAATGACCCAAACATTGTATGCACATATGAATAAAATAAAATTTTTTTTAAAAAAAAAAGGAGAGTGACAAATAAGGAAGAGACTTGCAGGAGAAATGGAAATTAGCTTAGCCACAAGTTCATTGGTGCTTTTAATGTGGATCTTTTTGTTTTTAAGTGATGGAGATCAAGACCAGGCAACAAGTTGAGTAGTACAGAAGAAAACAGAGGCTACCAATATATGAAGATTCTTTCCTAAAAACTGAGATAGAATGGAAAGTGACAGAGATACAAGGGAATATAGGTTAAGGGGGTGGGCTGTTTTGTTCTTAAAATTAAGAGTCTTCAGTGTTTTAAGTTCCAATGGGAAGGAGCCAATAAAGACATGGTGACTGAAAATATACATAGACAATAATGAGGAAAAAACAGCAAGGGGTTTCCTGAGGAAAAACAAAGAGGAAGACATCCAGAGCATGACAGGAGAGAGCAGCTGTAATTGAAGAAGGAAGAGAAAGCCAGGACAGACCATGAACCCTACATTCAAGGAATAATTTAAGGATGATGTTCGTCTTGGGGAGCCCTTTTAAATTTCCTCAGCTGCATATGGTTTAGGAAAAATATTGCATTTAATGATTCCAATCCCATTACTGATGTCTTATCATTATAGCATGGGGACCCAATGCTGAGTTTCTTGTAACTCATTAAAATTGCAAGTAGAACACTAACTGCTATGAGCCTCTTTCAGCTGGGCTGGCATAAGCCACCAAGATCTCTGTTTTCTTCCTCCTTTTTCCTCCATTCTATCATGCTAACTATGCTTTCACCACAGGAAACCAAAGATGGGATGACCAGAGTCTACCGGTCATTACTGACAAATGTCTGTAAGGAAATGTCATGTTACAGTGACTTCCCTTACAATGAAGATTATCCCAATTTTATGAGCCAAGAGAAATTTTGGAACTATCTCCAAGAGTTTGTCGAGCACTTTGGCCTCTTGAAATATATTCAGTTTAAGGTGAGACACTTTGGGTTATGCAAAGTGAATGAATGGGAACTGGCCTATTCAGCAATCTAATAGAAATATAAGTAATTTTTTCCTTGATTTTTATCTATAAATGAAAAGACAGATATTAGTCTCCTCACTCCTCCTTCTGCTTATATTTTACTCAAATAAAATACTGAATTTCCTGATTCTTCCTCTAGATGTCAAAGTCTCATTTAGGATGAAATTTAGAATTTTTTTGAAAGGAAAGGAAAAGCAATTCTGTTCATGAAACCCATTGGGAAGAAATGACCAGAAGTCTTAACTATAGAAGTTTTAATAAGGAAAAATTCAATTTTCCTAATTTTTTCCAATGCATCAAGAATTATAATTCATTTCCTTCTCATCAGGAATTAAAAATTGACTGTTTTATCCTTCCAATGAAAGGATCAAATGTCTTGAATCCTGGTCTATATATTTCCACCTTTGAGAGTTTGCATAAGTTACTTAACTTCTCAGAGAACAAGACAAACCAAATTTTTAGGGAAATTAAACAAATCTTTATTACTTTCTTCAAATTATAATGTCTACATTTTGTATAAAATTTCCTAACAGTACAAAAATAAATATTTTTAAAAATACAAATTTCACCACAATCCAATCCCTGCAGATAAGTGCCATTAAGATTTGGTACGTTTTCTTCTAGACACATTTATGTGCATACATATGATACTGGGTTGTTGCTCCCAAGTTAGTGTCCTGGCACAGTCAGTGATTGAAGACGCTGGACCAGGAGTTATGAGTTAAAGCAAGCACAGGTTTATTGAAAGGATAGCAAAGCACCCTGACAGGTGGGACTTAGTAAAAGAGCCAAGTTGTAGAATAGCTGGAGTCTAAGGGGTAATAAAGGGCTGTGTCTGACTTAGACACCCCCTTCTTTACTTTGAAGCTGCTTCTATAATTAGCCATATAACTAACTTCTTGCTGAACCCAACCATCTGGCTGTCCTCCATCCTCTGCCAACTGGACATTCCAAGAAGGTCTTGTTAGTCCATCCTGTCCTTGAGACCTGACATATACATTTTATGACTACCGCTTATTATTTTAGTGAGAACCCCCACCTCCATTTCACTATCTTGGGAAAGTTTGCTGTATCACTTTCCCTAAGGGGTCTATATTTCATCTTTTTAGATGTTTGTCTTTAAGAATGCTACTTTGTCTCTCTTATCTAGGACAAAAACTGCTGTACGTTATTATCTAGGTGAGAAGCCGGCTCCTCACTCTCCTTAGAGGTTTACTTTTAAAGATGCCTTCCCATCTCCTTTATCTAAGACAAAGTTACTTTTGCCATGTGTTCCTTTACATTTCCAAAACTATTTCTGCTGTTTACTCCCCTTCACATTCATTTCCCTCACACATATTTTTATTACCCAAATACATTCATATCTTATGAAAAATACTATACAATGTGTTTTTTAAGATCCACCAATATATATGGACCTATTATAAGACTTGGTCTGCTTAAAATAACAGACAGGGGTACCTTATCAGTCATTGTATGAGATTCAAATATTTTGGTAGGAAGTGTCTGTCTTTTGCTCATAGACCACTGTGTGCAGCGTAACAAAACGTCCAGACTTCTCTGAAACTGGTCAGTGGGACGTTGTCACAGAGACTGAGGGCAAGCAGGATAGAGCTGTCTTTGATGCGGTCATGGTTTGCACTGGACGTTTCCTGAACCCTCATTTACCTTTGGAGTCCTTTCCTGGTGAGTCATTTCTACCTGAGACCATAACTATTCTCTTGGGTTTTCTTTTTTTAAGAAGAAAAACTACTGATTTGTAATTAGAAATACTTCCCCATGATTATAGACAACTTTATAGTTACTCTTGAAAATAATACTCACTAATTACTTTGAAAGACACAAAGGACTATGCAGCTGTCAGGTCTTATTATTAAATTATTAATATAAATGCTATGATTTAAGCTTTATCGTTCATATTCACTTCAAATGCAGTGATTAAATAAGGCTTAAAACTATCAGATCTGTCATTAAAAGTAGATGTTGATTTTTAGGACTGATTTACAAGTAATACAAATCAAGATAGGCCTGTAAGGTCATTCAAATCATGACTGGGCCTGTAATTCAAGAACTTAAAGAAAGTGAGGGTATAAGGAAATTTGATAGATTATTTTAAAAGGAAACAAGCCAGAAATTATACATGCAAATGAATAAATTCACTCTTCAGAAGAGACACCATAGTAATAATCCATTACAACTCTTAGATCATAGCTATCCACAGAAAGGAGTTTTAGAAATTCCCTTCTAGAAATGCTTCCGACACCAGCATCTTTTTTTAATATACTCATGACTGCAAATCTCCACTTCTGAGGTCAAAACGGATGATTTGGGAAGCTGAAATTTATTCAAATTCAGGTCTGAAAAATAAAATTAATTAAATAAAGATTGCTAAAATTTAGTGAAGCTATTTTTCTATCACTTCTTAGTTACCTGGAAGGCAACTAGTAAGTAAAGTTTTGAAAATGTTTTGAGAAATTTTAAGAACTTATAAGAAGAATGTGAAGAATAAAACTTGCAGACCTTGGTAGGAAAAAAATGAAATATAAATCTTGACAAGCCTGTCTGAGGGCTAGTACCAGTAGGAAGAGGGAGGGCATGAGGAAAGGGTGAAGGAAGGTGAACATGGTGGAGGTACTGTATACTCATGTATGAAAATAGAACAATGAGAACTGTTGAAACTGTTCTAAGTGGGGGAAGAGGAATAAAGGAGAAAGAAGGGGGGGGTGAAACTAGCTAAGATATATTGTAAGCACTTTTGTAAATGTCACAATGTACCCTGGGTAAAACTATAAGATGCTAATAAATGAAAGAAAAAAGAGAGAATAAGACACATGTGCACCACTAAGAAGTAAAAAGTGTTAAAACACTACCATATTTGGTTCAAGTCTTTTCTTTAGATAAATGAAATAAAATACTATAGATGAAGTAAAATAAAATCCTCCTAAATAAAAAAGACAACCAGACTACACAATTCAAAACAATATTCAGAAATCAAGTGAGAATTCAATTCATAATTTCCCAAGAAGGAATGCTGTAAATGATGGTTGGGCTTCATGCTTGCTGCTATGCTGGGGACTGAAGGAATATATAACCACCTCTTATAACCATGTGTCTATGGGAAAATATGTTACAAGTGCTAAATAGGCTACCTGTTAGAGTCTCATTGCCTATTCAGATGTCCTGTGGTGCATAGTCCTTTTCAGCAGGCATCAGACCAGCTGTCTGCCACATGACCATCATCTGATCTACATGAAATCAGTGCCTCACACTGTCAGCAGTGCAGGAAACTGTTGCTGCAGTGCAGCCACATCCCTTACAGGAAGTTCTACACACACACTTTGTAGCATGAGTCAAACACCAGTCTCCCATAGGCTCCAAGGGTCAAGGTCTCAGAGTGGTCTCCTTGAAGTTACTCACACCTGGCTCCATGTCCATGGGCCAGACAATATCATGACACATTAACAACTCCTTTCATCAGACTGTCCAATTTCCAACTCCCAGCCACTTCAGTTCCAAGCATTGTAGAGCTTCAAAGTGAATCTGAAGCCAAGGATCACTGCTCTCCATACACATTCTTTGCAAATTCTGCATAGTTAGTTTAGCACCTCACTTGTAATGCAGTAATTACTGCTTAGTTTCAAGGTTTAGGGGCTTGAACAGGCAACATTAAACTACTATTAAAACATTTTGTATATATTTCATTATATATTGTAGCTCATTGATGATTGTTATATAGTAAATAAATGAATCCATGGCTAAATGGTAGGAGCATGATATAATCTAGAAGAAAGTTCAGTCTTTATACATTAAAATTTTAAGAGTAATTTAAGCATTGGGGTGGGAGGCTATCTAGTCCTCTAAACTGCTGAGCTTCCCTTTCTGATGCTTTGGCCATGCTTCATCACACCTGTCAGTTGGGCTGATGGTCACTGGCCTCTGGTGGTCACTGGCCTCATCACCAATGTTTCCTGTCACTGCTCAGAATTTCCATTGCTGCCTTCACTATAAGTAACCCTACTTCCACTGTTATGATCAATCTTAGTTTATGTGAATTCAGGATTTATGTCTATTGTATCTGCAAGAAGATAATTACCAAAAATAAATTAAAAGGAAAACACCTTTATTCATATATATACATATATATGTGTGTATATTATAATAGCCATAGCCATGCTTCTATTGAAAGAATGTTAAGAATGAGTACAAATAAGTATAAACAACCTGAAAATAAAATAAAAATAAACATATAATGAAGTATAAAGTAAAATAAGCACAAAGTGTAAGTATAAGTATAAATCACAATTATTTACAAAAGAACTTGCCATCAAGTTTTTATGAAAAATTAACTGAATTAAAATTCCATTTGTAAACATATTATGTCCATAATCACATTCTTTTAAAATTTAGTTAGTTAGTTAGTTAGTTTTGAAACAAGGTCTCCCTATACAGCACAGGCTGGGATAAAACTGTGATCATCCTTCCTCAGCCTCCCACGTGCCAGAATTACAGACATGTTTCACCACCAGCTTAACATTTATTTATTTTTAATTGACCTAAAATTGTCCATATTTACAGGGTACTATGTGATGTCTTGATGCATTGTGTAATGCTCAATCAGGGTAAACATATCTATCGCCTCAAATATTTACCATTTCTCCATGCTAAAATATTAACAAATCCTTTCTTATAACTTTTTTGAACTATAGAGCACATCATTCTCATTTTTCTTGTCTATTACCTAGTGCATATTGTACAACCTTTCCCCATCCCTCCTTCTTCCTCCCCCTCCTCTGGTAACCACTATTCTGCTTTCAAATTCTATGTGATAACTTTTTTTAGATTCCACATATGAATAACATAAAGTAGCATTTCTTTTTGTGCCTAGCTTATTTCATGTAACATAAGGACTTCCAGTTCCATCCATGTTTTCTCAAATGACAAGATTTCATCCTCTTTTATGGTTGAGTGGTATTCCACTGTGTATATCCGTATACCAAATTTACTTTATCATGCATCAATCGATGAACACTTAGGTTGTCTCTATTTCTTCGATATTGTGAGCAGTGCTGTAAACATGAGAGTGCATATGTCTCCTCAACATACTGATTTCATTTCCTTTGATACACATCCAGTAATATAATTGCTAGATCATATGGTAGATCTATTTTAGTTTTCTGAAGAATCTTCATGCTGTTGTAAATAATAGCTTTACAAATTTACATTCCTACCAGTAGTGTGTAAAGGTTGTTTTCTTTAAACCCTCATCAGCACTAGTTATCTTTTGTTGTTTTTTTATAATAGCCATTCTAACTGCAGTGAAATGATATCAGACTGTGATTTGATATGAATTTCCCTGGTGATTAGTAATTTTAAAGCATTTTTTTCATATTCCTGTAAGCCATTTGAATGTCTTCATCTGAGAGATGTCTATTTAAGTGTATTGCCCTTTTTTAAAAAGAATTAGATCAGTTGGGTTTTGTTGTTGTTGTTTTTCTATTAAGTTCAGTACCTTATATATTCTGGTAATAGCTGCTTGTCAGATGTATAGTTTGTAAATATTTTCTCCTTCTTTGTAGGCTGCCTTTCACTCTTGTTCGCTGTGCAGAACTTTAATGTAATTCCATTTCCTTTTGTTGCCTGTGCTTTTGAAATCTTCAAGCACTTCATAGTTTCAGTTCTTCTATTTAAGTTTTTATTCTGATTTGTTTTGTGTATGGTGAGAAATATGGATATAGTTTCATTCTTCTGCATATGAATATTCAATTTTCCCCACACCAATCTTTGAAGAGGCTGTCCTTTCCCCAGTGTGTGTTCGCAGCACTTTTGTTGAAGGTCAAAGGCTACAGATGTGTGAGTCTACTTCCAGACTCTATTGTGTTCCTTTGGTCTGTGTCTGTTTTTCATGCCAACACTATGCTGTTTTGATGACTGGCCACCTTTCTAGTGTATTTTGAAGTCAAGTACTGCAATTATGCCTGTCTTTTTTTTCTCAAGATTACTTTGGCTATTTTGAGGTTCCATATAAATTTTAGGGTTTTTTTCTAGTTCTGTGAAGAATGGCATTGGTATTTTGATAGGGAGTACACTAAATCTGTAGGTTGCTTTGAGTAATATGAATAGTTCAAAAATATTGATTCTATCAATCCATAAACACAGGATATCTTTCCATTTTTATGTCTTCTTCAATTTCTCTCATCAGTGTTTTTATCGATTTCATGGTAGAGATCTATTTGTTTAAACATATTCCTAGATAATTTAATGTAGCTATTGTATATGAGATTGCTTTCTTGGTTTATATTTCAGATAATTTTTTCTTGGCATATAGCAAGGCTACTGATTTTTGTATGTTGATTTTATATCCTGCAACTTTGCTGAATTCATTAATTGGTTCCTATGGTTTTTGGTGGAATCTTTGGAATTTTCTATATATAAGATTATTTCATCTACAAACAGTGACAATTTGACTTCTTTCCAAATTGGATGTCCTATTCTTTACATCATCTGATTGCTATGACTAGGATTTCAGAACTATGTTAAATAAAAGTGGTGGGGAGGGTTAACAGAGAGGGTAAAAGAGGACAAATATGATCATGATCAATGTACTCTGTATACATGCATGAAAATAGAACAATGAAACCATTGAAAATGTTCTTAGAAGGAGGGGAGAGGGAGAGAGGAATGGTTTGTGGACCATGTTAACAATATTACAGCATTCCAAATTTGCTTGCATAATTACTCTTACCAGTGAATTTTATACCACCTGATATTTTCTTCTTACTCATTAGCATTTCTTTCAGTGGAAGAACTCCCTTTAGCATTTCTTGTGGGAAATATCTGTTAATGATAATTTTCTCAATTTTTGTCTTTATCTCTTTCATTTTTAAAGTATGGCTTTTCTGGGTACAGTATTTCAAATCACATTCTTATAGCATCTAGCTATAAAATATATACATTGAGTAAAACATGTGCCAACCTTTTTTTTTAGTTTGAAATAATTATTCATTATCCAAGAGAAGATGCCAAACACATATTTGGTTATAAGAGTGCAGGAGACATGAGAGAAATCATAGTTAATATAGATGGAGCATCATAACACAGAACTAGAAATAATCTACTTCTTGCATAAGATGTTCAGGACAGTGCATATAATATTTCTTATTATCTGCAATGTTTGATTTGCTCTAAAGAGAACAATCACATGGAATAAATGGTTTATATTTTTAAGATGGCAGGTTCTACTACATCTGTATCTGGGCTTACTGCCTCCCAGGAAAGGGCAGCACCATATGTTTCTTCTATTACCTGCAATGAGTGGTGGAAGCCAAGAACTGCCATATTTCTGGGACTTCCCTTTTTCCACAGACCCTATTGTTGCATATTGGGAAATTATAAATTTAGATGTTTCAGATTGTTTGATCTTTTCTTCCTCAGGAATCCATAAGTTTAAAGGCCAGATCCTACACAGTCAAGACTACAGGACCCCAGATGCCTTTCAGGGCAAACGCGTCTTACTGATTGGTCTTGGGAACAGTGGAGGAGACATTGCAGTGGAGCTCAGTCGAATAGCATCTCAGGTACACCATTTCCCATTCCTGTTGTCTCCACTCCCATCCTTATGCACAGTGGCTAGAGAGAACTATTCAAGACTATAAATCACATTGGTCAATTGCTAAATTACGTTGACATGGGGTAAATGAAAAAAAAAATCCTGAAAAACCTCAAAGCCGCTCTTGGTCACTGAACTATTTAAGAAGCCACACGTTATGGAACTGAACTATCAAAAAGAGGCTAGGAAAACTGCCAAACTTGAGGCATTTTTCAGAGGAGCTCTTTCGAAAACAAAATCAAATGATTACAGTGTACCACATTGGGTAATTCTGTCTGTCTCTCTGTCTCTCTGTCTTTCTCTCTCAGGTTTGCAGCGTAGCCTAGGCTGGCCTCAAACAGAAGGCCTTCTTGCCTCAGCCTCCCAAGTGCTACAATGACGGTGTATTCCACCACACCCAGCCATTTTTCTTTTATACTGCAATTCTGGAAAAATCCTGTTTAAGAATAGAAAGGAGAAGTTGTTTTCCAAATGTCTCCAAGTTTTCTATTAGAAACTGGATTTGTATCTTATTTTAAAATAAAGCAACCTATAATGTGCCCATAATGATTTCAGAAAACCAAACATACACCCACAAATTAGAAATCTATTCCACTTGAGCATAAATCACAGGAAAATGATTAAATCTATAAAGAACAGATTTGCATTTAATTCGGTTAAAATTTTTTTCCAGGGAGGGGGACGGGGGGAGAAATGACCCAAACAATGTGCACACATGTGAATAAATGAATTAAAAAAATAAGAAATCATGTGCAAGCAGGAATGCTTCAGCATTAAAAAGTAAAGAGTGTATAGTTGGTTATGATCACGCTACAGAAGAAAGACATGTGGCCATCAACAGATGAAGAACAAAGGATGAAAATACTCCAGAAATCAGGATTAGAAAAGATTTTTCTTAACCAATGCCACAGTCTGCATTTCAGATTGAACTGAAGCCGGCATTGGAATGCCACTCTATAATCCCAGCATGTCAGTTCAAAGTTTGCTGAGGCAAAGGTAGTCATGAGGCTTTGTCTCAAACAGAACACAAAAGCAAAAATGCTGTAAGTGACCTGCCCAGTAGAGCACTTGCCTGGCATGACAAGGTCCTGGGTACCATCCACAGTAGAGCAAGAGAGACAGAATTGAAATATTTGGCTTTCATTTTTCCCCATTCTGGTAACCCTGCCTAGATAAATTCTTTCAAACTATTTTTTTGTAAATAACTAACAACTTTCACAGAATTATAAGATATGCCATAACAAATTCTGTTTGAACTGAAGACAAATGAAGTGAAATTGAACCAAGTCTTGTTTATACCTTTAGTATCAAGAGCAATGTTTGGTAAACAGTGTGCATTTGCTTGGAAATGAATGTATAAAGCCATCTATCCTTTTTATTGCATGTAAATAATTTTATTTGTGCTGCATGTTCTTGAAAATATACAATGTAGGAAAAAAAATAAAAGAAAAAACTTCTCTGAAAAAAAATTTCTTTTCCAAACCTTCACTTTAAATTACGTATTATTTATATGTAAATATTGCCAAATTAATATCATAAACCTACAAATGTTATAATTCTATTTTACAATACTATAAATATAATGAAAATACCTAACATACATAAATCAGGCAAAGTGTTTCCCTAGAACAATGACAGCAATGGGAACATAGAGTTATATGTAGACCTATATACAAATTCATAATTCTCTATTGTTCAAAGACCAGAATGTTACAAGATAATTTGAAACATATGGAAGAAAAATACTAAAAATTGCTGGACATGTATTTATCTTTCTTGGCTTACTTTTTAGGTATTTCTCAGTACTAGAACTGGTAGCTGGGTTGTCAGCCGTGCTTCAGATGGTGGCTACCCTTCAAATATGATGAGTATACGAAGATGGCATAGTTTTCAAACACAACTTCTGCCTGCATGCTTCCTAAACTGGATTCAAGAAAGGCATATGAATAAAAGATTTAACCATGAGGATTATGGATTAAGTATTACAAAAGGGTACTTATTTTTTTTTATTTCATGGGAAATTTTATTTCTTTGTGATACTGGGGATGGAGCCCAGGGTCTTGTAGGCAAGTGCTCTACCACTGAACTTCACTTATCAGCCCAATTCATTTTTTATAAGCATCTGTTAATTTGTATATTAACGGGGTTCCATGCATGCATATAACATGCACTGGTCAAATCCAACCTTTTTCTCACTCTTCCTCTCCCCCACATCCTTCCTAATCTCTAACAATCACTATTCTACTTTTAGCCTCCACTTACAAAAGAGAACATGCAGTACTTGTCTTTCTGTGTCTGTCTTATTGCACTTAACATGTCCTCCAGATCTATCTTTTTTTGCTGCAAATGACAAGATTTCATTCTTCTTTGTGGCTGAATAATATTCCATTATGTATATACATCACATTTTCTTTATCCATTCATCTGTTGATAAGCACCTAGGCTGATTCTAGATCTTAGCTGTTGTGAATAGTCCCTCAATTAACACAAGCATGCAGATAGCTCTTTGGTGTGCTGATTTCCTTTAGATGTATACCAAGAAGTGGGATAGATGGATCAAATGGTAGATCTATGCATAGTTTTTTTTAGGAAAAATACTATACTAATTTATATTACTATCAATAATATTATGAGTTCCTTTTCTCCATATCCTTTCCAGCATTTTTTATTTTTTATAGCCATTCTAACTGGGGCAAGATGGTATTTCATTGCAGTTTTAATTTGCATTTCTGATGGGATATTTTTTAAATCAATATTTCTCCTATATTATCGAGAATCAAAATGTTCAGTAACTATGGCATTGTTTTTGTTTATCCTATTATAAACATATTTCCCTAATACAACTCCATCAGGTTCCACAGCAGTTCATGTATACTAACAAAAACAGTAATTCATGAAGCTAGGAGAAAATGGAGGCTGATAACTTTCATTTCCAGTTTGAAAATCAGAAAATTTACATTGGCTTTGAGGATTCTTGAAACTGCTACTGTCTAGAAACATGTTTATAGCCCCAATAAATGCAGATGGTCAGCTCTCACTAACCTACAATAATAATGGTCTGATCTGACTGAGTGGTTAGAAGTATGAATGTGTAACAAGAATTCCTGAGATGATATATTTTAATATACCTCTGTATAAACTTGCATATTGGCAAAGAAAAGAAAAACTTTGAATTGCAGGCAGTGTCATTAAATGTGATTTATTATACTTGACTCAAATATTCTTCAGCAAGATACATTTCAAATTATAAGAAAAACTAATGACAAAGAATGCTTTGATACATTAATTTTATAGATAGTATGTCTGATATGATTAGGTAGAATGATGATCACAATGAAAATATTTACCAGTATAAATAGATTCAGGCTTTGGCCTCATGCTTGCTAAGCAGGCACTCTACACTTGAGTCACTCTGCCAGTCCATTTTTGTGTATTTTCAAGATAGGGTCTCATGAACTATTTCTCTGGGCTGGCTTTGAATCGGGAGCCCCCTGATCTCCTCAATAGCTACAATTATAAGTGTGAGCCACCAGTGCCCAGCTTAAAGCTTTTTATTTTTATTCATAGTTTCTTGCTAATTTCTTCTTTGTTTAATGCCCTTCCTTGAGGCCTAGGTGACATGAAACTATGAATTGATCATCAAGTGGTTTGTTGTATACTGTATTCTATCCTGATATTTAAAGAAAGAAAAGAAAGGGAGGAAGGGAGGGGGAAAGAAAAAGGAAGAGGGGAGGGAAAGAGGAAGGAAGGAAGGAAGGAAAAAATATAGGAGGGAAGGAGGGAAAGAAAAGCATTGCTCCAAAAATGAATTCCAAGAGAAAGAATTTCATGTGCTTTCTATGCAGAGTAAGGAAACAAAACATGTTAGAAATAAGCAAGTCAGGGAGACAGCCTTGAATTAGACACTGGTCAACTCATTTCCTTGGCTTGGCAGACAATCTCCCTCAATTGACCGAATACATCATTTGTTGAAGTCTCTCACAGATATGACTGCAGTGACTATTTTTCTCCTCTGCGTTAAAGGAAAAAACCAAAGTTTATTGTGAATGATGAGCTGCCAACCTGTATTCTCTGTGGGACAGTCACCATGAAGACCAGCACAAAAGATTTTACAGAGACCTCTGCTGTTTTTGAAGATGGAACGATAGAAGCAAACATTGATGTTGTGATCTTCACTACAGGATATACATTTTCTTTTCCCTTTTTTGAAGAACCTCTCAAAAGCTTTTGTACAAAGAAGATATTCCTATATAAGCATGTCTTTCCCTCAAACCTGGAGAGAGCAACATTAGCCCTCATTGGCTTTATAGGCCTTAAAGGGTCCATCTTAGCAAGCACAGAGCTCCAAGCACGATGGGCCACAAGAGTGTTCAAAGGTACTTAACTCTATTTAAAGCCATATAGATTGACTGGATCTTAAAATTAGTGCCCTCTCACTTGGGGTATGGCTCAGTGGTAAAGCACCTGCCTAGCATATGCAAAGCCTTGGGTTCCATTCCCAACACCAGAAAAAAAAAAATTAGTGCCCTGCCATTTAACATTTAGCTAAAATGAAACAGATGTGAGCTAGAGTTAAATACATGTGTATGCATATGTATATTATATGTACAATATAATGGGTATGCATACATCATTCCATCTGATTGAGTAGAATAAGAGATTTTTCCTCTGTGGATGAGATAAATTTAAACAATGAAATGTAATCAAATTTTTCAAATTAACTGAATTTGTTGGAAGTTTCAAGATCCTATTCTATTCTAGTTCAGTTTATTTACTTTTAAGTCTTCCCATTTATTACTAGAAGTAGAATTATGTATTTCTTCCAAAGAAAGGTACTGGAATAAGTCATGCTGTGAATAAAGAGAGAGTAACCTTTAAGAAATACTCATAAAAATTACTGAGACCCTGAACTCTACTTGCTGTCCATTATCAGTCCAAGAGCACAGATGCTAGAAATGATGGAATCATAGTTAGTAGGGTTCACTCCCAAGGAGGAAACTCATTAGCTTTGTGAGGATCTCCTTAAATCTCAGCCCTTCATCTGTAAAATGAGTACAACAACACCCTCAATGATCTTTAAAAAAAAATGGGTAATTCCTGGAAAACAATTAACAGAGTACTTGACACATAGAAAAACACCCATAAAGAGCTACTGCTGTTACTAGTGCTATTCTTACCAAATCACCTAAAGTAGGGCAAGTTTCAGATTAGTAAGCATTTTAAAGAAATGCAGTTATAGTATGTTTAAATATAAGCAGCATTTACATTTGGAGCACTCAATTGTCTTTAATGAATGAAAATAGTCACCAATAATTTAGAAGTAGCATATAACAGTACTAAGTAGCGCTGACTTCTACCCCACTTTATAAATGTAGTAAATACATGCTCTCCAATGTTGGCAAACATGTTATTTGAATGGGGGGAGAGAAGATAAGCTGTTTAGGAGGCCCTTACTTTATCTATGATACAGAAACATAATTCTCAACCCTTCATTAAATTATCACAAATTTGTATTTCTTGAAGACCAGCTAAAATGCTTTCACAGCATCATCCAATTATATTAAAACCACAGAAGACTCTTATGTATCTGGTTTTTTTTTTATAGTGAGCTCAAAAATGCTTATTACAATGATACAGCTGACAAAATAGGACTCTATTAGATCATACCATATGGGTAATTGCATGCTTTACCAGACAGCTTCCAAGAGGCACTGCAGAAACTACCAAGTCTTACTACTTTTTTACAGAACAGCATGACTACTTTATTACAGGATTTCTACCCCAGTAGAAAGTATAGCACAGAGCTGCATCAAGACTGTTTTTGTGGATAGTAATCACCCACTCTGGAGTTGGCACTTGGTACCTGCAGGAGCAAGACTAGCCAGAATGGGATGGAAGACAGGTTGTACTAACAAGGTCCCAAGTAGCACATAAGGGAAATGAGGGTTGGTTTACATTATAAAAGAGGGAGAGCCAGACACTATTGGTTCATGCCTATAATACTAGCTACTTGGGAGGCTAAGGTCAGGATGATCATGGTTCAAGGCCAGACCAGGCAAGTAGTTTGAGACACTCTATCTCCAAATAACAAGAGCAAAAATGGAGTGGAGGCATGGCTCAAGTGGTAGAGCACCTGCTTTGCAAGCACAAAGCCCTGAGTTCAAACCCCAGTCTCACCAAAGGGGGGAAAAAAAAAAAGCAGGGGATAGGGCAGGAAAACAAGGGACAGAATAGGATTTTAGACTCTGGGCAGCTGGGCTACTGCAGACAATGGCCGAAGTCCAAGCTGTTAGGGCAAGAGCAAGTTAAGAATTTAGACTAACAGGAGTAGAAGGCCAAGTGCTAAGTCTGTCCAGATGGAATATTGAGAACCAGTGGGTCCTCACCACAACTCAAGCAGACAGAGCCTCTGTGAGACCGGGAATACCAAGCCCCTTCCACACATGAGACCCCTTCCACAGCAAAGCTGAGCTTCATTTTCATTTGAGCAACTAATGGCTTTAACAAACACACAAATACAATGTGGAGATATGTACACAGTACAATATGAGTTACATTATAAGAGAGAGAACATGACAGCAGATGGAAGGGGACAAGGCAGGCCAGCAACTGGAGCAGGTGCTGATATCTGATGCAGGTGGTGCAGGCTGGGGGCTGGGCCATGGGGACAGTTGTCTCACATCTGGCAATAGTGTTCTCTGGTTAGTGAGTTAGATGGGAGATTTTACCTCTGGAAAATCACCTATGTACTCCAATTCCATTTTCAGCTTTGGCTTTTACATGTTCTGAGGTTGGAGCACTGGGAGGCCAGAAATGAGAGGGAAGAGAACTTAAAAAACTATGTGTGACTTAGTGTTATCACTGACTCTCCTCATAGGACTCTGCAGGATACCTCCATCCCAGAAATTGATGGCTGAGGCCACTAAAAAGGAGCAGCTCATTAAAAGGTATGAAATACAGTATTCTAGAGGGGAAATAATAAGTTTTGTTTTTAAAAAAACTAACAAAAATAAGGATTCTCAATGTTAGAAGCAGTATGAAGGTTGAAAAATAATTGTATTTATGAGTCGGAAGAATATATTTTTAATGCTTACTCTGCCACTAATTAAACATATGGCCTTAGACATGTTATAGGGGACACCAGGTCTTCAATGCAGGACACAGAGGCTAATCCTCTGCAGCTGGACCTATCTTCACTTGTCTCCCAGAGTCCATTCTGTCTTTGTTTTCCTCCCACTTCTCAGGCTTCTCTTTCTCTGGGTTTCATGGTATAACCTCTTCCTCATTGCTAAATCTAGGTGAGCCCCAAACTTAGTTCTCAGATCTATTTACGCTCACTCTTACATGGCCTGTGGCTTTAAATACCTTCACTTGGGGCTCTAACCCCAATCTTCCTCAAAGTTCCAGATTCCCATGCCCTCTAGATATCTCCTCTTAGATGTTTAATAGTTGTCTCAAATTTGGTATGTTTGAAAATGAACTATTTTTTTTTCTCTTTTTGAATCTGGGTTTTGTTATATTGCCCAAGCTGGCCTTGAACTCCTGGGTTCAAGTAATCCTCCTGCCTCATCCTCCCCAAATAGCTGGGACTACTAGCTCAAGACCCTGTGCCTGGCTTAAAAAAGAAACTCTTAATGCCCTCTTCCAATCCCACCACACTGAAAATGGGCTGCTCTGAGACTTCCCCATTGCAGTTAATTGCTACTCACACCTAGATCAGCCCCTCCCTTCCAGGTGGAATCTAGAATTCAGACAATTCTCAAGACCCCTAAGCTACCACCTCAGCCCAAGCTATCAGAACACTTGCTGCCACCTTCCACTCTGGCCATTCTAAGGCAACAAGAGTGAGCCACACCACGCTGCTGCCTGTTCAAAACCTTTCTCTCCCAGAAGCCTCCTTACAGTGCCTCTAGCCCTTCTGGGTGCCCGGCTCTCTGAGCACCCAGAGTTGACATTGACAATTTTTTCCCACTCATCCATGCTGCTTCAGGCACTCCAACTTCTTCACGGTTCCTTAGACAGGCCCAGCATTACCTCCCTTAGAGTCTTTGCATATAATCTTCTCTTTTCTTGAAATGCTTTTCCCCAGACACGTGCATGGCTCACACTATTCAAATATCACCTCATAAGAGAGAAGCCTTCCTTGACAACACTATATAAAATGGCAACCCCATGGCTTCACTTTGCCCTCCTTTGTATCTATTTCTTAATACCAATCCTACTTGACATATTACATCTCTATTTGGCTAGGCTGGGGTTTTTTATATATAATTTGTTGATGTCCCCCATTAGAATGAAAGCTTTGATAGCAAAGATTTTGTTTTGTTCACTGTTGGATCCCCAGAACCTAGAATGGAGCCTGGAATTTTTTAAATTTTATTTATTTTATTTATTTAATGGCATTAGAACATCATGAAAGTTTACTAACAAAAGTAGGTATGAATAAGGGCTTCTCATACACTATGCTCATATCTGCATCAAGTTCAGCCCTGGTATACCAAGTATGACTCTCTCACACTTTTAACATCAATGAAAATAAATGTACATACATGTCCATGTATGTGAATCTCTCTGATCCTGTTCATTCATCAACCACTATTTCATTTTGGACTGATCAGGCTTTATTCTCATTTTAAATTTAAGAATCAAAAGCTTCTCTCCAAATTGCCTCCCTTTGCCACCTCCTTCAACAAATTTACCCTCACACATACCCTTGGTAGACAAAAAGCCTTTTACTTTTTCTTTCCAACATAGAAAAAATACTCCCAAAATATAGTTTGATTCTAGAGAAAGTAAAAAAATGGTGGAAGGAGAGGTAGATCTAATAACTTGAAAAATGTGGGGCAGGAAGCAACTAGTAAAACATAATCCATCTTTTTTCCCTCATAGGGGTGTGATTAAGGATGCCAGTCAAGACAAATTGGACTATATTCTCTACATGGATGAGCTCGCTACATGCATCGGCTCAAAGCCCAACATCCCACTTCTGTTCCTCACAGATCCAGACTAGCATGGGAAGTTTTCTTTGGACCATGTACCTCTTACCAATACCGCTTAGTGGGCCCTGGAACATGGGATGGAGCCAGAAATGCCATCCTGACCCAATGGAATAGGACCATGAAACCTCTGAAAACTCGAATCACTTCTAATTCCTCCAAGCCTGCCTCCATGTTACATTACATAAAAGCTTGGGGTGCGCCTGTCCTACTTGCCTCTCTTCTCCTTTTCTGTAAATCTTCACTTTTTCTTAAATTGGTGAGAGAGAAACTACAAGACAGAATTTCCCCTTACCTACTGCTGTGGTTTGGGTATGTCCCCCATAATTCAAATATTGGCAAATTGGTCTCCAGTGTGACCACGTTGGAAGATGGGGCCTAACAGAAGATGTTTGGGTCTTCGGGTCTTGAACTTCATGAATGGATTAATTCTGCAGTCAAATACTGGATCCGTCACCCATGACAGGTTGTTATAACGTGAGGCTGCCCCTTGTTTTGTGTCTTTCTCATGAATTTACTTGCTATTGTACCCTTGTACCTACCATGCTGTGATACACAGTACAAAGCTCTTATCAGAAGCTGCCACTGTGCTCTTGAATTCCAGACTACAGAACTGTGAACCAAATAAACATTTTTCTTTATAAATTTCCCTTCTCATCTCTTCCATTATAGCAATGGGAAATGGACTAAGATGCCTACTGTTTGGTGAAGATGAATCTGATTGGTTATGAGGGTTGCACCAACTCATAATTCTATCAACAAGTATCTTGTGTATCTTTCCTTTCCTTCCTGTAATGACTTCCAAGTTTGGATATAGTCATCTCTCAAAAGAATTATTATATTGTCTCTAGTTTTGTTTCAGTACCTCTTTTTTTGAGGTACTGGGGCCTGAACTTATAGCCTTCACCTGGAGCCACTCCATCAGTCCTATTTTTTGTGAAGGGTTTTTCGAGATAGGGTCTCATGGAACTATTTGCTCAGGCTGGCTTAGGATTATAGGCGTGAGCCAGTGGCACCCAGCTCATGATCTCTTGTTCTTGTATTCCTTTCTAGGACATATTCTACACTGTTACGTAGGCAATTATTCTAAAGAAATATGATCATTATTTCCATTAAGGTCCTCATAGCAACAAAATAGCATTCAAATTGGGGAATTTGTGGAAATTTTAATATAGAGATTTTTTTTTGAAACTTTTTTTGTGATAGTGGGGTTTGCACTTGCTAGGCAGGTGCTCTACCACTTGAGCCATGCCTCCAACCCAACAGAGGGATAATTTTTAAAGTTGAGTAGTGGAGGGAAATCATAGGAATAATGAAATACTACAGACTAGTAACAACAAGATAACTTTGTGATCCCTAGACCTGATGAGGCAAGGGAAGGAAGAAATTACTAAAGAGATAATGACAGACCTATGTGGAGAGGCCTACCTAACAAGAGCAATGACTTTCAGCTGAATGACAAAGGCAGCACACAGTGACCCGAAAAGTAAAAATCTGAGGAAATAAATTGTTACCTTTACCCACTTCACTGCCACTGGTCAAGCCCCTGCCAGTGCTTCCTAGTAGCAAAATCCAACGAAAAGTCAGAGGGCAATTATATCTATCAATGTTGTCCATGAAAATCAGCCTCCTATGGTTATCTTTTTCTGCACAGCCTTCCCTGAAATTCCAAAGCACAGTTGATCATTCTGTGTAATGACTGCATCTCAGATCTGTTCTGGTATTGCTCTTTTGTTTTTATCTGTCTCCTAATGATTTCCTAAAAGAAACCATATCTTGTTAATTCCAAACACTGCCTGATACAAAGTATTGCTTAAAAAACATTTGATAAATAAACAGTGCCTTCACTCACTGACATTCCTCATTCCTCATCTTCTACTCACATTCTTTTCTTCTGCCATTACCTCAAATTAACTCAGTCTTGCAAATGAACAGGACAGTCCATTAATATCAAATTTTTTATATAGTAAAAGATAATCCACATGGCAATTAAAACTATAACTACACAGTAACTGGAAGCCAACTATACTGATTAAGATGACAACTCTAGAATGAGATCTAGATTTCAAACTCAGCTCTGTTGTTAGCTGTGAGGCCCTAGTCAAGTTATTTAACCTCTCTAAGCCTCAGTGCTCTCATCTGGAAAATGGTGCTAATGGTAAGTTCCACTTCAGATGAAACACGAGTTACACAAGACAGGGTGTTTGGTACACAGTAAACTAACTGCTTACAGGACATTTTCTATTGTCTGAGTTAAAGGATTTGAAACTACTCCTTGGCTCTGTTCCCTATTATGTAATCAGGAGATATGGCCTTTGCTCTTCATAGATTCTCCACGTATCACTTTCCAGCAAGCATCACCCTTTTGTCCTTGTGTTCCCCACCACCAGCACTCAGATGGATGCTCCAGAATGCAGCATGTAAACATTAGCAAAGGAGGAACTTTTCTCAAATAAACATAAGTGGACCTACTGATGTAACTAGTTAATGTGTCTAGGTTTTTACTGGCAACAACTCCTCAGAACAAGGGGCACCTAATTTCAAATCTTCAAAACTAACTAAAGTTGACCAACATGGTCAGGTATTTATAGAGCATATTTAAGCTATCTTAGGGAAGACAGCACAACTGAGATTTCTTTATTAGTTCATAATAACTTAGATCTATAATGTGCTATTTTTCCTATGTATAATTTTTAAATAAATAAAAAATTCAAGCCATTCACAGTGTCTCATGCTTGTACTCCCAGCTATTCAGGAGGTAGAGATCAGGAGGATGCAGTTCAAGACTAGACCAGGTTAGAAGTTAGTGAGAACCACTCCACAGTTCAACCAATAAAGCTGGCGTGGTGGCTCACACTTGTCATCCCAACTACATGGGAGGTATAAATAGAAGGATTATGGTCCAGGCAAGTCTGGGAAAAAATACATGATCCTATTTTTAAAAATAACTGAAGCAAAAAGGGCCGGGTATGTGGTGCAAGTGGTAGAGTGCCTGCCTAGCAAGTGAGAAGCCCTAAGTTCAAACCCCAATGCCAAGAAAGAAAAGAAAAGAGAGACATAAAGTGAAAGAAAGAAAGCAAAAAGAAAGAAAGAAAGAGAGAGAGGGAAGGAAGGCAGGAAGGAAGGGGAAAGAAAGAGAGAGGAAGGGAGAGAGAGAAAGAAAAGAATGAAAGGAAGAAAGAGAAAGAAAAGAAGAAAGAAAGAAAGAAAAAAGGAAGGAAGGAAGAAAGAAAGAAAAGAAAGTCAAAGACTCAGAGAAGTGAGAGAGATTTTTATTAAGATTTTTAATAATGATCTAAGTTAATACAAGTTGGTATAAAAACAAGATAAAACCATTTCACAGTCACTCAAAAAATTCACAGCAGTTTAAATATTTTTTCATTAATAAATTTAACATTGAATGGTTTTTGTGTTCTGAGAATGGATTCAAGTCCCATCAAACTTTCAAATCAAGCAATTCAAAATATGGCTAAGATCTAAGTAGTAGAAGGTAGTCACTTTATTAGAGCATTTGTACTTCAGGCAGCTTGACCATAAAGGCACAGAATCATGAAGAAAGAAATTCCAAGCCACTTTCTGGAGTGGCACCCAACAGAAACGTCTACCTCCTCACTCCCTACTCCCTTCAGAATCACACTTACCCATCATATCAACTGTACCAACAAGTCCACAGTTCCTTGACCACAGTGAGCGACTGTGTGTCCTACAGATCCTTCCAGGTGGTTCAATAGCTTTCTAAAAAATTGTTAGCAATTATTGATTGCACAAGAGGGTTTCATTGTGGTATTTCTATATATGCATGCAGTGTATTTTGAAGAAGTTCACCACCTCTATTTTACTTCCTTAGCCTCCCTCTTCCTCTCCCCTTTTTTCAAACAGTATTTAGTGGGTTTCATTATGCTATCCTTATATATATATAATCTAGAGAGACATATATATATGTAATACATACATATATATGTAACAGACTTTGATCCTCTTTACCCCTAAAACCCTCTCTCCTTCTCTCCTCTCCCTCCCACTGATTGTCCCCCCATCCCTCTTTTACATACATGACCCATATTATTATTATTATTATTAGCATTTCAGGTCTAGATTACACAGGCACTATTTGGCTTTTTGAGCTTGGCTTATCTTTCTCAGAATGATGATCATCAGTTCCATCCATTTTTCTGCAAACAACATTATTTCATTCCTCTTTGTGGATAAATAATACTCCACTGTGTATATATACCACATTTTCTTTATCCCTTCATTAGTTGTTGGGCACATCAGCTGATTCCTCAGTTTGGCTATTGTGCATAGAGCTGCAATAAACATGAGTGTGAAGGTATTTCTCTTGTATGTTGATTTATTCTCTTTCTGATATATCCCAAAACTGGTATAGCACTTTTTTGGTGCCATGACTCAGATCTAATCCATGTTGACTCAGATCTAATTTCATCTGTTTTTTGCAAGAGGCTTTAAAAGTGTGTATGATACAACCCAAAGGCTAACTCTTCCAACTTCTGAGCATGACTCCTCCTCTTTGAACACAACTACCCCTGGTTATGATCTCCAAACGATCCCAGATGTACCCATCAACAAAGAACAAGGATGAGAGAATCCTGACCTAATAAGTCTATCCCCCTTACCAGCAGGAAGTAGCCAAACACTGACTTGATTTCCCACTCCCTTAAAGATTTCAGAGTCTCTAGTTCTTGAGACATGACTGTTCAAAGATTGAAATAGCCCATCAAGGTCATGGAATGTCACAAGATGTTTTTGAATCTCCCACTCATCCTAAGGTGAGTCTATAATAGCAGTTCCTGGAAAAATAGATCTTTGCTTAACAAAGACCATAAGCCATACCCTGGGATGAAGTGAACCCAATAATTATTTATCTACCCTAATGCTTACCCAGGACCTTAGCCCTGTAGGCTAAACCTAAGGATAGGAATTTCTCACAGGAAAGCTTAATAAATACCTAAATCCCAAAGGCTAACACTGTCTTCTTACCCTAGAGATGACTCACTTTCAGTCTACTGAAATGTATCCTTTTCCTAATAAACTTACTATCACTTTCACAATTAAAAAAGAAACCCATAAGAAGTTCACAGAGTAGATGGAGGAAGGCAAACAAAAAAAGGAAA